GAGAGAGAGAGAGAGAGAGAGAGAGAAGACTACTCGAAATGTTGAAGTAAATTTTTAAGTCCTTTAAAGAGACCACACCTTCCAACATAACAGTATTGCTCTCACGAAGAACTAGTATTTATGGACTTACAGATGCAAAAAATTTGTAGTTACCACGTGTACATGCTACTTCCTACGGAAAGCACGCTCAACTTCTCTGCACTCAGACCGAGGAACATATATTGGCTAAGTAGTTGAGAACTACAGCTTGTTCAATTTGCGCATTCATGTTTTTTATCGCATTTCTTGTATTTTATCCTCTTTGTTGGAGATACTGTGCACAAAGTGTACTCTTCAATATGAGTTGAAACTAGGTATACTAGTATTAATATTAGTGCTCAGTGTCTACAAAAGACGCAAAAAATCGTCTTAAGACGATAGAGCGGTGATGGCTGAAACCTTCGAGCTTAAAACTATGTATTTATTACGAGGTCATAAATAAAGGATGTTGACAAACTCAATCATTAAACAAAAGTTCAAATTACTTACCACATCGAGTTCCATCCATTCAAGATTGGGCGGCGAAGTGGCGAAGACACGCTATATATTATTATATAGAGCTTCTCGACTACTGTTGGCAACAAAAGTTCTCATAACCGCACAGATTCAACCAGCACCACTTCGACATATCAGCGAAAGTACTGAATTTATTGGAAGCACCATCGATTGTCTTCCCCTCGTGAAATTGACTCTCCCCCGTATTTCTCGCGTGATATGATAGCTACGATTTCGCTCGATCAGAGAACGCGATGCATTATGGGATTGTTGTTCGCATCTCACGCGATCGTTTTACAAAGGTTTCGTGTCAATATAACTCCAAACAGGCTTCTCCTTTAGCTAAGTGTTTGCAAAAAAGACAAATATCCTGATAATGCTTAAGTAAAGAAAAAGGTATAAATTTAAGATGGTTCTTCGCCTTCGCACTGAGTTTAACGAAGTGCTCAAAACCTGGGAAAAATTTTTACATATTTAGTTTGTGTATCGTTTAGGCCATCGGTTCGTCCGCTCGGCATTAGCTGGAACTGCCGGTCGAGCCCCAGAGCCACTTTAGTAAAACATCACCTATGAAATTGCCTTGTGTTCTAAAGTTTCGCTGCCAGCTTAAGGTCACAAAAATCGGTGGAATCACTTTCCCGATTTGTTAGATGGTTATATTTTAACGAACTCATTCAGTTAAGCAATTTAAAATGTTTTATACCTCTACAGTTGTACGATGGTCTGTTTACTAAGAAAACATAAATCAAACGTTATATATACTTACCGCCAATAGTCAGGTTTGCTCGGTGTAATTGCTGTTGTTTTGGCTGAAGCAGAACAGAGTAAAGAGCGACTACGAGGATATGCACCGTCAAAATGACGACTGTGAGTTTTGCCAAGTTCCTGAGCGTACAACGCATCTTTGAAGTAAGTAAGTACTATTGTAACCTTTCGTTTGATTTTATGAGGAAAGATGCCTTCTCGACTTACGTACAGCTCTATCAGCAGAATTGCACTTGATATTGGTCAAGGCTTTTGCGTCTTTAAAATATCCTTGCGTGCTTTTGGCATCACTCACTATTCAGAAGAGAAAACTTCGTTTGGGCCCTGCCCAATCAGAGCAGTACTAGTATGATGAGACAAAGATACACCTGATATAACCAATCAGTAAGCCGCTTTTTTTTCCACGTGACCGCTCTCGACGGGAGGAAACGAGGTTGTTGTTAGGAAACATTGCTGTTTGAAACAATATCGACGCATTGGCGGAACGCAACACGCGTAGATAAACGTTATACCAGCATAGAAATTCTAAGGAACTTAAAAAGTTGATTAAATCCTCTTTGAAGTTGTATAGAAAATGTGGCCACGAGTCGTTACAAAAGCTGGAGAAGAGGGAGTGTGACGTCTCTGAAACGATAGCGAGAT